GAGGAGGAGAAGATTGCTGTTTTCAAAGAGCAGTATATCTATCCTACCATTATCAACACAGAAAGGGAGGAGAAATCCATGGCAAACTGGCTAAACACCCTCTCCATTCATGACTTCAACTCTTCTGCTGTTGAGACGCAAGCTAACAACAAAACCTCAAAGGTAATGATTGAAGCCATTATTTTAGCAAATGGAAGCTGTCAAGTTGAAGTGGCTCTTCCCTTAGCAACATTTTTGTTTTCCATTAATATGCCATGGAAGATGACAGTCATCTGGAGTATGAAATGTGTGTTATCTTCTCTGTGCACTTGATGATAGTGGAATGAACTATACAAGTGTTATTTTGTGCAGGGGCAGTTGAAGGAGGGAGGAAGGGATGCTCTAAAGCACAGGCCAATTTGCAGAATCTTGAACTGGCAACAGAAATTGTAGACACATTACCAGCCTTTGTGAAGCTGTCTGAGAGATTGGTTTTCAGGTTGACAATTTCCCTTCAAATATCTGCTGGCTTTTTGTATTCTCTGATGTGGGGCTGATTCTCTCTTTGTGTCATGCCCTGTTCACTCACTAAGGTTTGGAACCAGTGAGAAATTTAGGACCAGGTTTTCTAGGTAAATCTGCCATGAGTTCAAAATGGGTCATCAGAACAACTACTGAGTAAAATGGGACAACAGGGACTGCTGTCAGCTGGATATTGGAATAAAATAAAGAGTACATCTTTTTAATTAAGAAAAAAAAAGTCAATTTAAGCGTATGGGGGTGTTAAATATTTGTTTTTCTGGTTGCCTCACCAAAAAAAAAGACGGGAAAGATGTTTGGGGCATGTTAGGAGTAGGTTGAAAACCGCATGAGGAATCTTGAGTCAAGCTCTTAAGTACTGCTTTAAATTGACAACTATTGGAGTGACTTAAAACAGTGCTTGATTGGACAAGTCCCTTGTCAATCTGATCTAACTTTGAGGCAAGCCCTGCTTGAGTGTGGGGTTGGACTTGATGACCTAAAGATACCTTACAGTTCTGTATGTAATTAAGATTTTCTTGGCCAGAGGATTGGCAAGTCCTTGAAGGACAAATAATGGGCAGGGCTAAAATGTCTGTATAGTGCAACTCAGAAGAAAATAATGGCCTTTCTTCAGTTAATGGAATCCTTAATTATCTTTATTTTGTGTAGATAATGAACCTGCTCTGAAGAACATCCAGTTTAATCTTGTCTGCCATTTTTTGTTTGAGTATGGAAAAGAGTTTCAGTATATAAACCAAAATTTACAGCCTTGTTAAACAGTACAAGCAAGATACCAGAAATTTCTCAGGGTTATTTCTGTACTTGGGGTAATTGTTCTTCTGAAGTATAGTGCTGTACGGGGGCATGTGTGACAGGAGGTTATGACAAATGCCACATCAGTTTGGTTAAATGGGACCCAAAGAGACCATGTGGTGTGGAGAGTCTTTACTTGGCTCAGGGGTCGTGATGATAATGTCGACAGGATTTACTGCTGCCAGGTTCCAAATCACCAATGTATTGCTGGCAGGAGGCAGGTCTGCTTCTTTAGATAAACTTGAGCAAATACAGTTTTGGCATCGTAGTTAGCTGTCTGGAGGAGGATAAATTAAGGGATGATACGGCAGACTTCTTTGAGATCTTGCAGACTGCTTGCACTTCAATGAGCTGTGCTTGCTGTTACAAAGGCAACTGTCTAGGTCCTGCAGAATTTCTTTTGTAGTAGGATATTAAACTGTCAATGCTAAATTTGTGGGATTTGGAGGTTTTATATGTTTTCAGCAAGCAGTGGTGAGGAAAAAAGGAACAACTAGAGACATATTGTCATGTTAGCCTTTCTTTATGAAATCCTTTGATGCCAATCATAGTCAAAATACTTGCTTCATAAAATTGTGTCACCCTCCCAAGTTCATTGACTTACAAAGGAGTGGCTCCCTGTTAAGAACTCAGACTTCAGTTTCCTTTTAAGTTGCAAACACTTGTAGTATTTCCCTAATACTACTTTGTGCAACTGACTTCATTTTTACACAAGTCTTAGTGAGCCCTTGTATCTCTAATACAGTTTGGACATAAAGTCTCTGCAGCAGGCAAACAAAATGTAACAAATGGCTTTTGAGGGATCTGCATGAAACAAAGCACTTTGTTAACTTGTCTCACCTGCATTTATTTTAAACATTAGCATTAGTGCTATTATCCCCCAGGTCAGTTTCCCACATACAGCACACTAATTGTGTAGTTGTAAATACAAATGAGAAGAAATTTCTTCTGATGGTGAGTGTAATCCAACACAAAAGTTTTTTGCTACAAGAAACATCATTTACCATCACAGAATTTTGTTACAATAGATAAGTCTAAGATATGAAGCTGGGATCCAGACCCATTTTCTTGCACTTTTGGAGAAGTGTAAAGTCAGTGTCTCTGGCTGAGGTCAGTCTCTAGATGTGTATGGAATACTGATAAACCATTTTCCATTTTACTTTACAGAACAGCAGTGATCTTGATGGCAGTGATGGTTCTGATGGTGATTCTGACTGAGCCAATAAGTTGCTGAATGTGGGACCCTTGCTGCTTGCAGCTCCCTGTGTCTACAAAGAAGTGGCCTTTCTAAATCCAAGAATCCAGTCAAGCAGGGGTTTGTGTGCTTGCAGATGAGAACCGGATGCCCCAGGGAAACCGGGTGGGGAAGACAGTACAGTAGGAAAAATAAAACAAGCTTTTTATACCACTGACTGATACACTTGAAAATAGTGTAAGGAGAAAGCAGCATTCTAACGGAGTCTTGTACTGCAGGATATCTTAACTGCTGTTTGAATAATGGTTTTATTATATGTTTACCTGGAAGATAGTATTTTAAATATGTATAATCTCTACATAAAGATGGGGCAAATGATTTTAAAATACTCTTTTTTTATTGTTATTATTACGATGTTATGACTCCATGAACTTTTGCTTATTTTTTATTACTTTCTTTACCTTTACTCTCTAAACATCCTTAAGCTTTTATTTTCCATGTCTTCCATGACTTTCTGGTGGAATAACATGCACAGTTAGAAACTCGTTATCATGTTGTGTGCTGTGAGTTCTGTTAGTATTGAAACAGGCTTTCTGCATCCTCTAAAGCTTTGCAAGTCTGAAAGAAATGATTCCTTAGTGACGGATCTTAATTTCAGAAGATGGATTGAACCATGTATTTCAATATGAGACCTTGCCTTTGGGAGTATTGCCCATGTGCTTGGGCAGACTCAAGAATATAGATCCACAGCTGTGTGTTTCCACAGGTGTGGATCCACACCTATAGTTGAGAAGAGATGGTGTATGTTAAGACTGCAATTCAGAGCGTGCAGCCGTGGATGTTCTAGTGTTGCCTGTGGTGGATCACTAAATGTGTTGCTGCTGGTTTAGTATTTCTGGTTTTAGTGGAAACTATCCAGTCATCTGCTAGACTTGGGGTTGAATCAACTTGGTATGCGTGAAAGGAATGGTGCTGCCTGCATGCATTCTCTGTGCGTGAACTCTTAATTCCTATCAAGCTGCTCAGAATGTGTGCAATGATATGGGAAACTCTGTCTTCCTTTGGGAATGAGGTGTAATTTTCTGTGGTTTGGGGTTCTGTGTACTATGGAGTTCTTGCTTTCCTGTCCCCACTGTGGTTTCACTTGTGGGTCATGTTTCCAGCTCTCTGTGGAGGTAGTAGAAGAAAAAACAAGTTAAGGCAGCAGCCCTCCTGCCCTGCCTGCCTATAGAACACTTTTGGAAGGGGTGGAACAAGACTCCCTAAGCATTTGGGTATTTCTACAAGCACTTGATACACTTCCCGAGCTGGGTCTGTATAGTTACTGAAAATGAGTGGTCATTCAGTGGTTCCTGCCCAAAGCCTCTAATTTTATGGCTCATTCTGGAATTTGTTTTGACCTGCCAGGGCACAGGTGACCTTTGAAAAGGAATTCAGTTGTTTGTTTTATCTGGGTTTTAATTAGAGCTTTTTATTTTATCTTTAAGGCCTATCTCTATTTTATAAGAGCAGTGTGTGAAAGTGTTCTGGGGAGGGACTCTACCTAGATTTTCATCTCTGCCCCATGCTGCTTCATACCATTGACCTAATCTCGCATTAGTCTTCTATCCAAAACTCTTTGTATCCCTTTCAATCTGACAAACACCCCTGCCCTTATTTGCTTATAATAAAGGGCCCCAAACAGACATGTATCTCAGATGAAATCAGCAAAATCTTCTATTTATAGCCTTTGGAGAAAACAAACTAGTAATAATAATTAAAAAGGGTATTTCTTACCTCTTGGTATGTGCTGGTTTATTTCAAGGGGATTGTTTGGTATTTCAACTCCAGTTTTGGACCAGGAGCTCCATAAAATACTTGACCACCGCCACTACACAGAAGTGGTCTAAATTCTAAAGGGGACCCTTTGAAAGCTCTCGGCATGGGCAGCGTTCAGGGGCAGAGAGCAGCCGGAGCGCTGTGCTGGACCCTGCAGCTCGCTGCGGTGGGCAGAGGCCTGCAGGGCTCGGGTGCCTCCCGCACAGCCCCTGTCAGGGGCTTGCACACGGACCTGCCCCGCGTGTGGCTGCGGGATGCGGCTTGTGAGCTTCCTGGGGGGAGAGGAAACGGATTCCCGCAGGGACACAGTGGGGATCCTCCGCCACTGCCCCAGTCCCACTGGACCGCGCCATGTGGAACGAACCCGCTCGCCCAGGTGAGGCGGGAATGGCTCCGCTGAGCGCGGCGGGGCCGCGGCCGTGAGGGGGCGCTGCGGTGGCGGCGCGCGGCGGGGCCAGGCGAGCTGAGGGGCGGGTAACGGCGCGAACGGGAGCCCGAGCGGGGCTCCGGGCATGGTCCGGCGGCCCGGTGAGTGCCGAGGCGGTCACTAAGCTGCATCCTCCCCGCTGGGCACCGCAGCCCCCGTGGCGGCGGCAGGGTCAGCACGGAGCCTGTCAGGGCGCTCCTGACAGGAAGGCTGCAGGGAGCGGGTCTGCGGCACCGAGCAGAGGGTCGGTACCGAATTGTCCCTGTACATCCCGGTAACTTTATCTTCGCGCTGGAGCTTCTTGGCAGCCTGGCCTGGCGGTACCGCGTTCTCAAGGCAGCGTTTAAACCCTGCCTGGGTTTATATTAATTACAAATATAATGTGTTAATACATGGCTGTAATGTACTTACAAATCATGCTGCCCCTCAAACGACAGTGTTTCATGAAATGAGAGGTCAGGGAACTGCTTTAGTGATGCCAGGCATCACTCCGTTGTTCCAGCTTCCATCATCTCCAGAGTATGGCTGCGTGCGAGGGGACTGTCCTCCCTCGGTCTCAACACCATGCATCTATGGGCTGGAGAAAGCCTGAAGCATTTGTTGACTGTCCCTTCGAAGTACCTATGTACCCAGCCAAGACTCACTATGTGCTGCAGGAATCCTCTGTCTCCGACTGATAGAAGCAAAGTAACTGGATAAATCTACTGGAATGGTAAAGGATTCAAGTGGTTAAACCGGGTTAAAAGGTTAATAACCATTGAGATGGGCTCTCTTTCTAAAAAGTTGGGCAAAAAGCAATTCTGGGAGCATAAAAACAGTTTCATAGCAAAATAAAGAGTGAAATCAAAGGTAAATGTGGATAGAGCTTTGGAAGTGGTAGACTGATGCATTATTGTATTGATAACAACTACTTTATTTAGTTAACTTTATTTTAGTTCCAAAATAGTACTTCATGTAGAGACTCATAATTAGCCTTGATAACAGCTTTAAAAAAGTTGTCACAACCTTTAAAGTGATGCTGGTACATCTAGTACTTATATTACTCATTTGTGATAGAGTATGTATAATTAAATGTAAGTTTTAAGCTTTGTAATTAAAGATAATTGCTTTAATAAGCTTTTCTGTAAGTGTAGCATTATATCTAATAGCAATTATTACATCATTTAAAAACTCTGTGGAGAATATATTAGAAAGCACTGAAGAAATATATTAGTGAGAACTGCACATCTTGTTTTCACGCACTGGGCTTAAGTTTGCACCCTCTGTACCTAATTTGTTGTTTAATTAACGTTGTTGCATGAAACCTTTCCTTTTTGGTCATTTGATGCCCTGATGAAGGTTGGTTGCCCTGCTGGCACCTCTCTGGAGGATGTTGTTAGAAATAATCTTTGTGTTGTTAAATTAAAGAGCTGGTAAGTACATTCTAGACAATTGGCACGCTGATTGATTTGCATCTTTATAGCTTTTAGGTGTGCAGTTTTACTGTGGTATGGTAGAAAGTTGATTTGACCAGCTATGTAACAGTCTGTATTGCCAATTTCTTTGGTTCTTTTTGATATTCTACTATTTTAATTACTGAAATCATAATTGTTAGAAGTTTCTCTATAGGTGGGATGACTTCTGTTCCTCAAGTGGCTCAACAGATTAGCCAGGAGCAAAATCAACAGCAAAATGGGCCAAATTTGTCAAGTTTGCATAATTCCTTACCTGTTCTGCAGAGTGGGAGCCCAGCTTTTCTTCAGCAGGTACAACGAACAGGCTGTGACTTTGGTACCGACTCCAGCTCCTGTAAAAAAAACAAGTATCAGGTTTGCATATTATTGTGTACGTGGCTTTGAACATCTGTTTTTTATGAATTGTCATTGCTGTTGTTGTCTATTCTGTACCATTAAATAGTCTGTCTGAATACTGGGAAGAGAGTATCCTCAGAAACAGTAACACCTGTCTCATTAAGAAAGTCTAGACAAGATTAATTTTTTGGCACTTCTGCTAGTTTCCCTTGAAATTTTACTTCTGTGAACATCTCTGTTCATTTATGTCATTTGCTCAGCTCACGTAGTGAATGTTATCTGGAGGTAAATATAGCTTCATGAATAATTTCAGGCCTTATATGTCATGAAGGAGAGTGCTTTGCTAATCCTAGCTGGTGCAGCTGGCTCACTGCAGACATTTGAGTTTTGATGTGAGGTATTCTCAGGCAGCTCTCGCTTGTTATCTGATGACTTCTATTCATGGTCAGTTTTGTACACGCTATGTTTTTCTTCGAGTGCTCTGCATTGTAGCCCTACTTGATGTCTGACTTGCTATTGAAGAATTGTTTAGTAATTCATAGCTATATTTGAAGCTGAATATGTTCATATTTGTCATTTCCTTCTGCTGTTCCCCCCCACCCTTCTGTCTGTTTTAGGTGGTAGCTTTAAAACTGCAAGTAGAGTTAGAAGAAAGGAAGAAGACAGCATGAAACTCACAGAACATGTCAAAACCAGGTAATAAGGACTTTGACCTTTTTTTAACTTTTGCATACTGGTAGTATAAGCCTACCAAAATGAATATTTAGGAGCTATTATTTCAGTCTTAGTTTTTAGTCATAAATATCTCCTTTCTCTAGCTTGCTAACTTCCTGTAGCTTACTAAAGCTTTTATAAAGACTTTTTGTTGCTGAGCTCTTGTTTGTATCTGGGTTAGTTTTACGTCCCTTGTGCGCCACGAATGAGACTGAATTCATGTGTGCACCTGCAGATTGCCCTCTTTATGTAGGTTTTTGCCCTTTTTACTGTAAGATTTTACAAACTTACAATATTCTTTAGGGTAGAATTCTTATGTTCTTTAGATGCTGAATTAACTGTAAATAGCATCAAATCTGTGAATGAATGATTCGTCTTGGATATGGCAGCACTATGATTTTTATTGTTTTGTGCAGAAATAAGAGACTGATTAAGAAAGAGAACCTTCAGAAGGAAGTGGTACTTCCAGAACTTCTCACATTTACTGTAGAGAAATATGTGCCAGATTTAGCAGATGCTGCTGCTGCTGCAGAAGTGCTGTTACCCAGAAGCAGTGCTCAAATCATACCAGTCTTAGAGTCTATGAAAGTCTGGGCTGGAGTAGTTGGTAAAGCTATATAAGATAAATCTCAATGGCATGCTGGCTGATGAACCTGGACTTGGAAAAACAGTGCAAGTTGTTGCTTTTTTTTGCACACCCGGCATATAATGAAGGTATGAAATATTATAGCTCTTTTGTTTTATAAATCTATATTTTTAACAGTTCATTGGTTGAATGCATTTTCTGTAACAGGAGAAAAAATAATTGCTTTTAATATGTATAGTTTAAAGAAATGTATCTGGAATAAATCTTGTAAAAAATATGCAATTCCTTTCATTGTTAGTGCATGTTGTCGAGATACACACATTTGCCTTTTATTGTAACTCTGAAGTGTTATGCAGTCATTTCCTATCATGCTGTACCTTTTATCTCTGTAGGTAACTGGGGTTCTGTTCTTGTTGTTTCACAAAACTTGAATGTGCTGAAGTGGGAGATTTGAACTGAAATGCTTGTGTCCTGCTTTGAAAATTCTTCTGCATCTTGGAAACCCATGAGAACTTTTTTGAAGAAGACAGGTATTGTGGAACAATGTACTGGGTAGTGTAACTAGTACACAAGGAAAATATCAGCCTGAGTTATGGTTATACCATTGTGATTAAAAACTTCAGCATAGTCATTTCACAACTTGTTTCTTCTCTCTTTTGTTGTGAGCATACTGGAAAAATGAAGCTATTTTCTTATTTCATAAGCAGAGTTTGGTATTCCCCTATAAAAGTTGCTTTGCTGACCAGCAATTCTCAATCTAATCCTAGAGGAGGAAACAATAATCTCTGCTAGTAAAGCCATCAAAGAAAGCCTTTAGGATTTTGTGGTTTTACATTGCAGGAATGGACTAACCCCAAGACCTTCCTCCTGCAAGCAATTCTTTAAAGACTGTGAAGCATTCATGAAAGTACAATGCAGGTACCTAGTTTTAGATGAAAGGCAGAATGGTAACAATCTGACACAGGAGCGCTGGGATGCAATATTCAATCTCCAGAGGTCTGAAGCATTCATTCAAATTTTTCTTGTTGCTTTTGTCCATCAGTTACTTTCTGAAACAACTGCAGTGTTTAAAATGACAGGGTTTAATTTTTTCTTTGCTGTGATCTAATTAAGTTATGAAATAGATCTTAATTATTATTTTAATTATCTGCAGTCATCATTGTTTACTCTTGATGGATATGCTTCTGCCTACTGCCTTAAAAGATGTGTGGGCCATTGCCAGTTTCCTGATTTCAGGGATTTCCCAAATCTATCTGGATTTTATGGTAGTAGCTTCTGTGGAGGGGAATAAAGATCATTACCAGAGAGTTGCAGTAAGACTACAGAGTACATCTCCCTTGAGGATAGCGTCTTAACTCTAGTATCTTTCTCTGAGGAAATAAAACTAGGAAATCATTGCATTCTATTATTTTGGGTAATGCAGTCATTCATTTTGCAGAGGTCCAAAATTCACATTGAGAAGCCGTTACCAAGAAAATACTACCACGTGCTTACATGTACTCTTTCTGATCAGCAAAAGTCAATGTATGAAGACATCTTGTCTCAACCAAGGTCCATCTGCTGAGGATGGTCATTCATCGTTAAAGTTAGGAACTGTTCCAGTTACAATAATAGAGCTTGTTTGCTGACGTGTTGTTTCTAAGTTAGTCATGGGCACTCCTAAAGCCCACATTAAAGCTCATTGGCATAAGCGTAGTGTTGTGCAGGCTAATCATGTTTTACACTAAGTGGCAATTGCATTCAGCATTTTCTTCCTCTTGTGTTTATTTATTTATATCAAGTGATTTTACAAGGTAAAAAGAAACATAAATAGCCCATAATCTTCAATTACTATATATGGGACAAAGTATTTATAACTTGGGCAATTGATCATGCATCACAGGTTTTGTCTAAATTTAGTTCTTCAGTTATTTAGGAACTGCATATCCTAGGTTATATGGTTACATTGCTTTTCTGATATGTCTAGTTTGTATTTCCCAGTGAAATTGGTATTTTAAAGTTATATTTATTCAGGCATTTTGAAAAAAGACCTCAATATTGACAATGTGTTTCATATACTATCTGCTGTAATTTCAGTTTGAAATAGAGTGGCTATTTGAGAAGTGTGAGATTTAAAATCAGAATATATTCTGTAAACTATTAAATGTTTGTGTGAATGTGAGAGAAGCTGGAGGAGTGGAAGACTGCATTTTTAAACATACTTTTCTATGTTTGATAACTTGGTGTTATCAGATTTATTCAGAAAAACAAAGTGAGTGTGCAGAAATACCTAAGCTCCTAAAAAGCACTGGGTTTTTTAAAAGATAATTTAAATTACATTTTCATTTTAAATAACAGAACTCAAGAATATCTCAGAAGTTGGCACTTCGTCGGCGTCCTCCATGTTCTGACGCAGATGCTCAGGGTGTGTAATCATCCTGATCCGTTAAGTCCTTGGCTTCCAAGTTCTTCGTGTGTATTAGACATGCTGGAGTTTACAATTGCTTCTCTAGTGCTGAATGCATTAGAATGGGATCTTTGGAAGGCGAGTAGGGAAGTAATTCTCTTGTGCTTGAATTGACTGGGAGAGCTGGGGGCTTAGGACATAAAACTTCTTACACATAGTTCAGGTTCCATTTAAATATTTAACTCTGTGTTGCCAATTAATTTATATTCAGAAGAAACTACCAAGATTATGTATAACCATTGACTTTATGGTAGTACTGGATTTAGCAGGTGTGCTGAGAATATGCTATACTTCTCAAAGAAGGTCAGGCTGTTTTGCCACATTTTCTGGTTTTGCAACATTTTCTAGTTTTGCTTTAAGTTCTCAATTAACCTAAACGGATGGGTCTTGAAATCAAGCGACAGATGTAATTCTTATCCTGTCCTGAGGAGTAGTAAGGGCATAGTTAAACTGTGTACAGCTCTACAGATGAGAGGCTGTGTCAGATTCCACAATTCAGTTTCAACTATAGCCGGTTAAAAGTTACATTGCAAGGGGTTTAATCTGTTTTTTTCTAGTGATTCCAGCCATACTACCTGTTTAAGGAAAACTGGACAAAGCTGCAACAGTAGCATTGTGTGTCCTGGGAACTTCAAATAATTACTCCTTTGAGCCACTTGGGGAAATCATTTGGGGGTGGGTGGACAGGGTAAGTGTCCAAGACTTGTGAAGGAAGTAGTGTTAACGTATCAAAGTGGGAATGGATGAGTCTGGAATGTCAGTTCTACAAAGACAAATACTTTAATCACAAGCATTGAATTAATTGCAGAGCTTGTAACTTGAGGTGCCATCCTGGTTTAGACTCTGGTAACATGAGCATAATGCTCTAATTTCATGGTGTAGGTTGCTGAAACCTTTTAAAGTAATGACAGCTGCTCTCTGCAAAATCACATAACACTTTACAACGTTCTTCCACATTTTGGTTTGATTCTGGCATCAGCTCTGAGCTTTTTAATCATTCTCAGATAATGTAGTACTGTTACCTTTTTTTACTGCAACTGAATGGTTGAATATTTCTTTAGGTTGAGGGGTTTGTTTGTTTGGTTTTTATAACTTAAGCATGCAGACCAGTCTGTCTTTGATGTGATTGGGATTGAACACCAAACTACTTACAAAGCACAAATACTGCTGAAATTGAAGATAACCAGGAAGCTTACTGAAGAGATCTGCTGTTCTCCTTCATCCCCAGTGAAGCTCAAACCAAACAGGTATGCAGCGGTCCAGTGACTGATTTGTTTAAGTAACAGGTGAAAGCAAGTAATATGTATAGACTTCATCTACCAGGTTACTTTCAATTACCTTTAGCCTGTCCTTTCTGCTTCCATGCAGATACCTTCTTTATTACTGTTTTTGAGTAGCTAATAGGCCAAGCTGTTAAAAATTAGTTGATTAAAGTTTTGGTTCATTTTATAGAGATCTGTGAGTATTGCTAGCAGTGGCTGTTGCTCCTCTGAATTTGTATGTAGTAACTCCTCCTTATACATACACCCATTAAATGGTTATATGTAAAGGTCTTGAAGAAAAAGGTCTTGAAGTTTAATCTAAAGGAACAGATACTTCCCTACTCCATTAAACGCAGCAGGTAGCAAGGCCTCATTTTCTACAGTTTCCAGATCCCTGACTGGTGCAGCATTTTTATACCTGTTTTTTTTATACCTGCGGATTCAGGTATAAAACCCCTACCACTTGTTATAACTGTGTGAATGTGCTTTTTCTAACTGTTGAATGCTATCTGCAGAACCTACAAGTTCTTATTTCATAAACAGGCAAGATGAAAGCTCTGGCTGCCTTGTTTTGGAAGCTGAAATCAAGAGGACATCGTGTATTGATTTTGATGCAGATGATTCTAGTGCTTGATTATACTGGAGCTTTTCTTGAACATCCATTTTCTCACATATGTAAGAGTTAATGAGAGTGGTGCTCACAGTTGGCATCATCTGGTAAGAGGACCTCTTGCTCAAGATAATAGTTAATATATGCTCATAGCAGGAGGGAAATGGTAAAGGGAAGTTTAATACATTTGCAACATTAATTTGCATAATTTTATTAGTTATTTAAGCAAATTATGTATGTAGCTGTCACACAAATATGTAATTATATATGAAATATGTCAGTCATATTACTATTTGATGAGGCATCCGGGGTGTTTCCAAGAGGCATGCCACTAGTTGTCCTACATTTATGAGTAATTTGTGTTTGAAATACAGATGCTTTATTTCACAATATTTCACAATTTCATAATTGCTTTGGCTTTCATTATCTGTAGCTATCTACATTGTTAGTACTATAAGTGTAGTTGCTGCTTTTATGTTGGCACTTCCTCAGCCTTACTCCAGGGGCTTTTGCTTTTTGTAGAGTGCCCTGGCATTGCCTGAGGATAAATTGAAAGCATGTTCATTTCCCTCCCCAGTACGATTTTCAGTACCCTCTGGGGCCTACAATTTGAGCAAACATTAACAATATAGTGAAGTCATTCTTTTCCTATTTTTTGTTTCAAGTTGCATTGTTATGATTTCTGCCAGATGCAGTAGAAAACATGAAGGAATACTTTGCCTTAAAGCAAAACAAGGCAGCACAATAGAAGGGATTCAATTTAGTCTGTAGACAATAAAAACGACGAAGCACACACAGCATAATAACTCAGTCAGTGTGCATAGTAACTGCAATGGTATTCTCTTGTTTTCCAGTTAGGTAAATGGAAGGAGCCTATTCTCAGTGATATTGGTGTGACATGAGGGGAATGTCGGATTTTTGGTCCTTAGATCTCTTTTCTATCTTAATTATGTTGCTGTTATTTGCAAGCAAAAGGAATTAAAATTCAGTTTAATTAACTTTACTATGCCTGTTAGCCTGTAAAAGGTGTGACTCAGGTCAGTGGCAATGTACCATTGTTAGTATAGTTATTGTGAAATGTACTAATATTTTAAAGTGTACAAATTTTCTTCCTAAAAGGAGTTAAAACCCACAAATATAAAATGGGAATATCAGCATGCCAACGAGGCGCAAAACACTTCAGAAGAAGTGAAAGAGGAACTCTTAACATACACCAGACAAAATACTTATAGCATGGTAACATAAGGGATCTCCAAGTCTTTGCTTTTTGACAGACATAATAACTTTGTCCTGCCACTTAGCTTCAACTGAGAGAAAAGAAGCATTGCCATAGAAGGACAGTTGTTCCTCCACCTTCCCTTTTTGGCCAGATGACTCGAAGAATATTGAAAACAAGACAGAAGAGCAAAGCTCAGAAGACACTCCTCTGGATAAAACAGAAAACGCATTTCGTGAGAACTTTGTTAGCTGTCGTCAAGTCAGCTGCTGACAGCGGTCAACATGATCCTGCATGGCTAACTGCTGAAGACTTGGCGCTGTTCAAAGTAAGATGGTGCTTTGTTTATTTTGACTTCAAAAACTTTTTACTTCAAAGTTTATGACAGCATGGTTAGACCTCAATTAAGGATTACACATGCCTGTGCACACAAGAAAAGCATTTAATTGAAACGTTACACTGGGGTGATTTCTCTCTGCCTCCTAGGCTGCAAAACAGTTACAGACACTTCCTTGAAACCTTGCTATTGTGTCACCAGCGGAGACAGCGAACTAGGACTTTGTCTGCCATGTCTTTAACACTTGTAACTATGTTTATGGCTTCCCGAAGCAATGTCAAAATTGTTACATAAAAGCACTTGCAGATCCAGGAGGAAAGGTGAGCTTGAGATGTGCATTACATTGTGAAGACCGGGGTTTCTGTTTGTTTTTCTGTTTGTTTTGAGGTTTCTTTCCTCTATTTTGAATTCCTCATTGCTGTTAGTGTTTGGTAACAACACTTCTGCGGTTGTCTCATTTCTTGGTATTTTAGCAATGTCAAGGCAGGCAACCCTGCTATATAATAATTTTTTGTCAGGTCAGAATTTTCTGTCACAATTGTTGGTACAGACAATTAGGAAATAATTCCAGGATGAATCTTTACATGACTTCATGGTCGTGGTTTTTATCTACTGAAATAATTCAAAAGAAGCCTGTTGCTGTGGTCCGTCCCCCCCCTTCCATCTGTTTCTGTTGTCGTAGGCATTGCCTGAAATAAAACTGGAGCAACAGCCTAGTCAGAAGCAAGAGGAACAGTGGAGCAAATCCCAACCCAGTGTCAACCACAGGGGGAAACACAGTAGGCAGAGAAATACGTTCCTCACAGCTAAATGAATCTGCAAGCCTGGATTCATGTACACTTATAGCATCTGTTTTGACTTTGGTGAGGCTGTGTGTAGGACTCTCAGCAAATCTGGAGAAGTGGGACACTGAGTAATGGGAGCATTTTCTTCTAACCGAGCTGAGGTGGTGAAATTTAATGTTACTTTAAAAATAGACTCTTGCTCATGGATATAAGAATACTATTCAAAACTTAATTACAGACAAGCTCTTTCTTAAAGAATCAGGATTTTGGGCTTCATCCCAGAATGGATTTAATGATGCTGAAAAAGGCATTCTATATATAGACCGGAACAAATGTCCTTTTATGATACTAATATAATGGTACTTTTTTAGTGTGTGTATCTCACTCATTTGAAAGAATTTCTTAAAACTTCACGTCCTCTTTTGTTAACACTTTGGAACACATGTAAATGTTAAGAATACACTGTGTTTGATGACACTTACAGGCCTTGGGACATACAGTATCTCCAGCCATACCTGTTTTACCACAACTGTCCCTGGTCCGAGCACACCCAGAGCCCACAACACCCGGCCTTTTTCTTCAAGCAGCAGCAGTTGACAGAACCAGTTGTAACCATCGATCCAAGGACAACTGTGCAGATGCGTTTGGTGACTCCACTCATATCAGGTAACCTTTTACTTGTAGTTTTAAATTCACATTTTGCTATTGAAAATAAATTCTTAAATCTTTACTAGTGTTGCTTACTTTAAAATTTACTGAAAATAAGTGAAAATGATGGGGGAATAGTCTTTTACGAAATCCTCTACTCTTTAGAAAATAGTATATCCCCAGATGTATTACTTATGTGCAATTGATTTTAGAATCATAGAATAGTTAGGGTTGGAAAGGACCTTAAGATCATCCAGTTCCAACCCCCCTGCCATGGGCAGGGACACCTCACACTAAACCATGTCACCCAAGGCTCTGTCCAATCTGGCCTTGAACACTGCCAGGGATGGAGCATTCACAACTTCCCTAGGCAACCCATTCCAGTGCCTCACCACCCTAACAGGAAAGAATTTCTTCCTTATATCCAATCTAAACTTCCCCTGTTTAAGTTTTAACTCATTACCCCTTGTCCTGTCACTACAGTCCCTAATGAAGAGTCCCTCCCCAGCATCCTTATAAGCCCCCTTCAGACACTGGAAGGCTGCTATGAGGTCTCCACGCAGCCTTCTCTTCTCCAGGCTGAACAGCCCCAACTTTCTCAACCTATCTTCTACATAGAATTTTAAACAATCTCATCTTTGCATAGTGTCACTTATTTTCCATTTTGTCTTAAGACAGTTTGATCTCTGTACTTTGAGCTTGTAACAAATATTCACCTAAAATTTCATTTTAGATTTATTTACCAGGACTTCCAAGGACCAGTCCTAATCCTCAGACCACAGTAACTTCTTTGGCAGCGATGAACTCAGCGTAGAAGTTGCTCTGATGCCCAGCTGCTAGTGTATGTCAAACGCTGGAAAGCAATGCTTGCATACTGCCTGGATTCAGCCCACATCACTTCTTCAGTTGTGGTGTTAAGAACAGTGAGATGCCTGGTTTTAAATGGGAGCTGAGTGTCACTACTGAACAGGTGCAAGTTGTATTTTCTTTATTGCTGAACTATTCTGCAATTGTTGGTGTACGTTTTTTTCAATATTTATTGTAAGTAAGAGTAGCACTAAGCTACTTTTTCCCTCCCTTCTGCATTCCTGCCTTTGCACTGTGAGGATTTCCTTGCCTGTGCTCCAGGTGAGCAATCCATTGTTCATCCTTTAGCCAGATTTTCTCTGTGTATTTTTAACACTAAATCTTGCAGAAAAGGGGCAGCGCTGTTACCTGCGCGAGCGGCAATTACTCTCTTCCAGTGGTCATTACGCTCCCATATCCGCACTGCAATAAAAGTTAGCTTTCTACCCTTGTCCCCGAGCCTCGTTCCTCCATATGCTGAGCCCCATTTCCCGCCGAGGCCATACTCTCTGTCGCGACATAAACCACAGCCGACAGCGGCGCGCGGGTCGGTCAGCACCGCGGCGAGCCGTGCAGCTGCGCGCATGCGCTGTGTGCGGCGCAGGCGCGGAGCGCGGCGGGCGGGCAGCGGCGCAGGCGCGGTGCGGGAGCGGGGCGCAGGAGGCGCGGTTTGTCTCCTGCCGGCGCTGGTAGCGGCTGCGGCTCCGGCCGCCCCCCGCCCCCGCTTCCTGCCAGGAGCGAATGGAAACTCTGGCCCCGGCGCCCGCGGTAAGTGGGGCCCGCGGGCGCGGAGGGGCAGGGGGGGCGGCAGGGCCCCGCTCCTCACACACACACACCCATTCTCCGGCCCCGCACAGGCCTCGGGCCCGAGGCCCGGCGGCACCGGTCCCGGCGGCGGGGGGGGGGGCGGCCGCGGAGGAACGGGCCTTCCCCTCGCCGCCGCTGGGGTGGGCGGGCAGGGCCGGCCGCGTCCTGGCGGGGGTGTGGTGGTGCCGCCCGGGGCGCTGGGGGCCGCTCTCGGCGGAAGAAGCCCCTCGCCAGCTTGGGGCGCCGGCTCGCGGCGGGGCCGGGTGCGCTGGGCCGGGCTGCGCCGCGCTGGGCCCGGGCGGGCCCCGGGCCGTTCGTTTAGTTCAGTTGTGGCACACAAAAGGCGATCCCTGCTCCCCGGGCAGGCGGCGGCCGGCAGCGCGCTTCCTTATCAGCGTGTAATTAATTAAGTGTTTTCACTCGGGCAGTAAACGTTAGCGAGGTATAGGTAATTAAAATAATAAGACCTTGTTACCGGCGATAGCTGGTATCGTTTGAATCTTAATTATTTGATATTAGTGCCGTGAAAGAGTCACAATACCGCGAAGTATTGCAGTGTTATTAAATCTCTTGGAAAAGGTGCCTGTGAGGAGTGGAATCTCTTTTTCCCTTCCCGCTCTGCTTAGGTTCGAGATCCGAGGAGCGGCAGAGCCCGCCAGGAGCTGTGTGTTAGTCAGTGTGCAGGCTGCGCCCCGAGGTACCTCACTGGTACCCATGTATGGGGTCTTTCTTCTTCGCTAGCACGTGTGTGACAGTGCTGCTCTGCTTCCACTTTTTTCACGTGGGCAAGGGAATGAATCTCTCCATCCTCAGGGCTTGCGTGGATGGAACTACTAGTAGATGCATATAGCCCAGGAGAGGGAAGCGGAGTTGTGCGTGTTCACTGCCGCAGCAGCAGCAGTCGAGGAGCGAGGCAGTCACCGCTGCACCGCGTCCGTTCTCAGCCGTGCTGTTGCCACTTGTAACCAACTTGGAGTAAGGAGCAAAGACGAATGGCGGGTACTTGTATGTGTGTTTGCCCTGAAATACCGAAAGTGAAACTCGTGTTTTCAAAACACAAGGGAGGTTTTGAACAAACAAAAATCACGTTTCATTTTCCCTTTTTCTGCCCCTGCTATGTGACACCCAGCACTGAATGTGCCTGTCAGCTCGCATCAGTGGAGTTTTTGTGAGCGATTGAAATACAAAACCAGAATGTTTTTTGATTTGGGGATAGCTTGGGTCAATAAATGGCATTCTAAATGACATGCAGGTTTGCATTAATTTTCATCTCTTTAAAGGGGAGAAAGCTGATTTAAATATCAAGTACAATGCTTTTTCAGACATCTCGATGATTTGAAGATTTTTCATTATGCACTTTTTCTTCACTAGCTAGAGCAATAAAGTTGAGTAGTCTGTGTCCATTTTAATTATATTTTTAGTTATTGATGAAGAAACATAGTACATTTTAAGCAACTGTTGCGTATTCAGGAACGTTATGTTAAGTGTTAAAAGTACTGGAACATTTAGAATAACGAATGCAAAAAAGAGATACTTTTGATGCCAGAGACTGTTGATTCTTCAAGTTTCACAGAACATATAATTTGTAAAGTTCTTCAATAGCTCTTTGTTAGGTAAAGATATGTGAGGGACTTAAGTGAGCTTTGTGGTGCTGAGGGTTTTGGAGAAGTTAAGTACATATTTAAGCAACTGCCAAGACAGAATAGCCAAGTTCTAACAATAAGATACTCTTTAAATAGTAACTACAGAGTTTCAGTTGCAGAAATACTTTTACCTTCCCTAAATTTCTGTTTTTGTTGTATTTCTTTAGTGTATACTGTAAGAAACACCTAGAGCAGTGAGAATGCATCATGGTAATGGCCCTCAGAATGCCCAGCGCCAGCTCCAGAGGTCCAGGTCCTTCACAGGCAGTGAGGGAGAAGAGCAACAGGCAAACCTACCCCAGTCCCCTGCAGCTTCTTTTGCACCTTCTGCAAGTCCATCTGCACCCCAGTCCCCCAGTTACCAAATACAGCAGTTTATAATGAGCCGAAGTCCAGTGGCTGGGCAGAATGTGAACATCACTCTGCAGAACGTTGGACCGGTGGCTTCAGGAAACCAGCAGATAACACTCACCCCATTGCCAATTCCAAACCCAACATCACCTAGTTTTCAGTTCAGTCCTCAGCAGAGGCGGTTTGAGCATGGGTCTCCTTCCTACATTCAAGTCACTTCACCGCTGCCTCAACAAGTTCAGTCTCAAAGCCCTACACAGCCTAACCCTGTGCCAGTGCAAGCGTTACCAAGTGTTCGGGCAGGCACTCCAGGCTCTGGCTTGGGAATGTGCAGCCAGAGCCCCACAAGAGGATTTGTGGATGCTAGCGTGCTTGTGAGACAAATCAGCTTGAGTCCTTCAAATGGCGGACACTTTGTGTATCAAGAAGGACCAGGAATTGCACAGATTGCTCAGGGAGCTGCTGCACAAGTACAGCTTCCATCTTCTGGAACACCCGCTACGGTAAGGGAACGAAGGCTTTCACAGCCTCATTCGCAGTCTGGTGGCACCATCCATCATCTCGGTCCTCAAAGCCCTGTAGCTAGCGGAGCAAACATGCAATCTTTGACTAGCCCGGGCCATATTACGACGACCAGCTTGCCCCCCCAAATCAGCAATATCATCCAAGGGCAACTGATGCAGCAGCAGCAGCAAGTGCTTCAAGGACAGCAGCTGGGTAGACCCATTGGATATGACAGGACTTCTGGTGGCTTGATAGCAGGGGTTGGAGGACCTAGTGCATTTGGAATGACATCACCACCTCCTCCCACAAGTCCTTCACGGGCCACTGTACCACAAGGGCTGTCGAGTCTTCCTCTTACTCCTACGGTTAATACGGCAGTGAAAAAACAACCCAAAAAATTGGAGGAGATTCCTCCTGCCAACCAAGAGACTGCTCAAATGAGAAAACAATGTTTGGATCATCACCACAAACAGATGGAAATTCTTAAGGAAACTTTTAAGGAATGTTTGATTGAGCTGTTTTTCCTGCAACATCTTCAAGGGAATATGATGGACTTTTTGGCTTTTAAGAAGAAACATTGTGTTCCACTGCAAGCATACCTGAGGCAAAATGACTTGGATCTGGAGGAGGAAGAAGAGGAAGAACAATCTGAGGTCATCAATGATGAGGTAAGAAATCTGTTAAACTTATTTTTTGGACGGAGTCTTGGGTGGCATGGTTTAGTGTGAGGTGTCCCTGCCCATGGCAGGGGGGTTGGAACTGGATGATCTTAAGGTCCTTTCCAACCCTAACTATTCTGTGATTCTATGAAGTTGTGGCACCAGCATTGTGGAGTACTGGAGAATGTGACAGTACCTGAAAAGTCGTTTGTACTTGATGAAGTACGGCACTTTTCCTTTAAATAGTTGGTCTGAGAGGATGCAGTTCTGCTGGGTAGTGTGAACAAACGGGTTGGCTTGAGCATGCTGTTAGATGCATGTGTTTAAAAGGAAAAGGATAGAGAGGTGAAAGGAGCTTTTGCTGTCCTAGTTAGTATGTAAACCACCACATAAAAAATGGCATTGGTGTGGAAGCTGTTTTAAGCTATCAGAATGAATATGAGTAGGATTCGTAGACTGAATTTCACTTTACTAGAGTTGCGTAGACCAGAAAAGAATGAGCAGTCTTGTAAGAGGTTAACCTTTGAGTGGTGTGACTTGTAACCATAGATGTTACTGAAGTTCAGTGTTGCTGTAGCCAACAAAGACCTGAATTAATCTAATTACATAGAGAGAACATGTGAATCACGATGTATATAGGTCCATAGTAATGAATCAGGTTACTTTGGCTGTCTTAGAGCTCTGTGCAGTCTAGCTGATCAAACAAACAGCACTTACAGACTGGATTGGACATTAACAAGTTAACGTTGTTATTTATGCAAAGGTTTAAAATTACTAACTTGAATTCACTGTTTATTAATGGCAAAGGGCTTGAAATAAGCTTGCCAAAGACACATGCTGTGCAGCTTCTACACGTTTGTATCCATGCGTATAGCTCTTGACCGCAACACCCTGCGGGTTCTGGAGCAGTGCTTGTTTTGTGCAGAGCCTACCTGCAAGCCTACATGGCAAGCAGTTGCAACAGGGTGAATATAACTGGTGCCTCTATCACTTGGCGCTCATAAATACCTTTTAAAATCTGTAAAAATATGTATGGGTATATAGATCTCAGTTTGTAAGGAGCCAAACCTGTTACATAGAGAAGCTCAAACTGCTTGGAGATAACCTGTTAGAAATGAGTGTCTCCGGGGAAAATTGGTGACTCTCTTAGGTGTGAATCATTAGTGAGCATATCTTCAGTTGGAATTTGTGGGAAATTTTAACAGTATAACAGCTGAAGTTTAATTTGTTCACTGCTTTGTGGTTTAGGAAATTTCTGCTTGTGATTGTTATTGATAATTTTGAAGGAATCATTTCTCTCTGTAGCCTGTTAGTGTGATTTATTGGCAATGGATATTTTTTATTTTCACCTGGTTTGTATTTTGTCAAACTGTTTAGGTGTTCTTGTTGGGTTGTGTGTTTGTCAGCTGAAAAACCAGGTATTTTTAACTGAGAGCTCTTTAGCGGGTGTAAATTGTCTAGGTTCATTAAAGTCAGTGGC